AATTTTTACATAAGGAGAATTATATTTATAAGTTTTGTTTTTACAAATTATACTATGTAATAGGAGTAGTACACTGAATATATTATCGCTAATATATAATGTAATTTGTAAGAATTTATAAAAAAAAAATTATGAATATAATTTTTCCCCTTTTATTAAATGGAAAAAGTAAAAGTGCGGGGCTTTGTGCAGCAAGATAACCGGCTTGGAGGAGCTTCCAGTAAAACCTGGTGAACTACTACTGGTATGTTCCTAATTCAGTATTTTGCCTTATTTATTTCTTTTATTACAAAAAGTGGTTAAGAGTTAAGAGTTATTGTTGGGAAAAGAAAAGGTACACCAAAGTGAGGTTTTGAAAATTTTGAATCCAAGATTAAGTAATTTTTGAATCCAAGATTAAGTAATGTAGTCTTTAGGAGAGCGTTTGGTATAGGAAAAATTTTTATTTATCCAGAAATCTCGATTTTCAAAAATATAATTTTTACATTCAGTTTACGATAATATCTGAAAATTTAAAATTTAGAAAAATTTAATTTTCCATAAATCCCTCAAAATTTCGCCACCCAAACGCCTCCTAAAAAAATTTACGTCAATTGAAAGACTTTGGAGCATGCTTCCGATTCTGAGGTGATTAATTGGGGGCTTAAATCTCCTCTCTGTAGAAACTGATAAAAGCAATTCGCACGCTTTTCGATAGCTATCCACTAGCAGCTGAAGGTACATATATGCAATATCCTACCTAGTAGATATATATTATCCTTGATCTTCAATTAAATATTCACACAACAAACTCGATCGAAGTTCTATATATCGTAATTAATTTGTCTGACATAATTTTGAACAAAACAAAATTTCAATTCGGTGCTTGGCAGCGATTCTTGAGTCCCATGCCTCACAAGATGGTAGCACACATGGGGAAATTGACAAGCATTTCAACTTGTTTGGCCGGAAACATTGATCTTGAGAAACCTCGATGGCTTCCACAACGCTCTCTATGTAAATGATCATACGTATTATTTGCTTACGTAAATTGATAGATTAATCCTTTTCCTTCCCCATAATTACTTCGTAACGAAAATAATATGGGCTTTGCATTTCTTATTTAACATGAAACACATACATAATTCAAATGAGTCTCATCATAAATAAAAAAATAAAAATATTGTACGCAAAACGATCTCTCACTAATATAAGAAAACAATTCTCTTATTAAAAGAGAAAGTATTTTTCGAAATAATATATAAAAGGGCAAAAAAAATTAATTTATTGCTTTTTTAATAAAAAATTACGAATAAGTAGTCGTTTTGAAATTAATTACGAAAATATAGCAGTCAAACACGCCCCATAGGGGCACCGGTTGGAGAGAGACACGCCCAATGTTGGGCGTGACCGAGGAGAGAGACACGCTCAATGTTGGGCGTGTTTCACCAGGTGCTGCCACGTGTCACAAAAGTCAATAATTTGACCGTAAAACTTTAGAAGTCCATAACTTTTGACTCGGGTATTCGAATTAGGTAATTTTTTTTTGATTCCACATAACTTTTCGAGATCTACGTAATGACACCTAATTTGACCTATTTTGTCTCTCACAAAAAAATTTGAATTTACAACAATGATACCATAATTATTAAAAATGACATGACTTTGTTACCTTATAATTATTACTAAAAATAATCTAATATTTTTATAATCATGAACAAAAACTTAAAAATCAAAATAAAATGAAAAGCACTCACTTAACTTTTTAATATAAATTATTCGATATTCTGTCACCGACAGATGTTAACTTTTATTAATTATAAATTTCATAAAATTCTTCATTCAAAATTTTAATATATATCTCAATAACATACATAATTAACCTTATCATAAGGATCTTTATTATGAATGTTTCTAATCATAACAATGATTTTCTGTCCATTAATTTTTGTTTAAACGTTCTTATGGTATCATTATTGTAAATTTAATTTTTTTTTGTGAGAGACAAAATATGCCAAATGAGGTGTCATTACGTAAATCTCGAAAAGTTATGTAGATTCAAAAAAAAAATTACCTAATTCGGATACCCAAGTCAAAAGTTATGGACTTTCAAAGTTTTACGGTCAAACTGTTGGCTTTTGTGCCACGTGGCAGCACCTGGTGAAACACGCCCAACATTGGACGTGTCTCTCTCCTCGGTCACGCCTTTATGAAGCGTGTTTAACTGCTATATTTTTGTAATTAATTTCAAAACGACTACTTATTCATATTTTTTTATTAAAAAAACAATAAATTAATTTTTTTGGCTATAGAAAAGTGCTATATATATAATATCATTAAAGCATAAGCTAATGCAAGTGTTGGTCAGGCTTGGCGATGGAAAAATTTGGACCAATCTTGTTAATATGTTTTACCGGCCACAACATATGTTACATGTGTATATATTTTTTATACCGATCCAAATTATCATTTTGAGGCTAGTATTGCGACTCCCAAGTATTTTTATAAGTTTAATTCTTTAAATCGATTATGAGATTATTCCTAAGTTGCCAGTTAATTACAATTAAAATTATTTATCCCTTCGTCAAGATATATTTGGTTGGACTCAAACTCAAATTCTCTTCTCACTTTCTCGACCTATGTTACATGTATATATTATTAAAATATTTTATCCCTATATTTTCTCCTCAATACAGTAATTACTGAGATAATGATAATGCAACTTACTTTCTTTAAAACTTTTCCAAAAAAAAAGGTGCTTAAAAAAGAGTAGGATATACATATATTTAACAAATAATTTTTAATATTTCAAAAAAAAAAAAAACAAATAATTTTTAAATTAAATTAACTATTTATATATATTTCAATAATTACAATTTTATTAACTAATTTAATCATATTTTATGTCACATCATTTAAAAATATCAAAACCTCTTTAAGGTAGGTTACGTACAATGAATTGATACCACACACATGTCAAATCATTCTTGCTAAGTGTGGTGGAATAATACTTGGTGCACATATTTATCAAATACATCATTTTACATATGAGTAACGTGACAAAATAAAAACAATTATAATCAAATAAAATTATATAAATATGAAGTGATGTGTATATAAAGACGTGGTTGTATTATTCAATATAGTGTGCTATGCACATCGATTAATTAGTATACATGACTAAGTTTTAAACCCAAAAGGCCAAAAATAAAAAAGTCATACGCGAAGCACATTAATGAGTGGCTAGCAAGGCAGAAAATTAGGTAGATTAATTGGAACAAATACAACATATACTCAGTGCATGATACCTGCAAAATGCCAATAATGTGACGCGTGTTGTTATCAAAGAGTGAGCTGATTCCATTTGTAAATTCCCCTAAAGAAGAGAGAAAACGATGCAAGAAAGAAAGTTAGAAGGTGGGGGTATTCTTTTCTTTCTCCTATTATTTTTGGGGTTTGTATTTGTCATTTAACATGACATAATAAATTTTTCTACACACACAATATTTTATGGAGCTCACACTCTTTTAAGAAAAAAAAAAACTGCGTCACGCAAAACGAATCTCTATAACATTAGACAATCACTCTTTTTTTTACATTACATGAGAATTGAACACACACCACTACACTACACACACCTAACACACACTCCACACCACTAGGTTAATCCTAGTGGATATTACACAATCAATCTTCCTATAACATAACCCTGCAAAATTCATTATGTACTCGTATAATCCTAGCCCTGTATAAAACAGTTTTCCGATGCTCATAACGATCCAACGTTTCGTTTGCGTCACGTCCACGTGCTATGATGCTACACATGCATCACACCGTCTTAGCTGTCACTCATCTATTTTGCGTACCATGATAACATATCCCACCAGAGCCCTTTCTTAATAAATATGGTAAGTAATTTATCGGTACAATTTTTTTTAATAAAAAGAGTCTCTTTGAGCTTTTCAAATGTAAATTCATCTTAATTACTTTAAAGGTCCCTTGATGACCAATATTTTTTTCTTACTTTTTTTTATTTTACTATTTTATGTCCCACCAAAAAGATTTTAAAATTCTAGTTATAGCGGATAATATATCTTCGTTAATCTTATATGTAAGTGCCTTGTATTATATGTACTCATGTACTTCTTTTGTAGCAAAAATAAAACTTGTTTGAAGAGTCACGGACGAAACGTGCCATTCGCAGCTTGGCTCTTTGTCTCTATTTTACATAGCACTAGCTAGTTGGATGTGTGTGTGTTGGTATTTTTAGAGTAATGACGTTCCCAATACCATCTCTGTGCATATCTACGTGAACTCGTAGACACATTGTTGGACACATAGGCTTAATTAAAGGTTTATGGGCGCGCACATTAAGATGCATGTCTCATAATTTCCCCTTTACCTTACCTATAACTTGATAGTATGCGCAAGTGCGCAACCATTCTGGGGGCTGCACGAGGCATGGAAGTTTGCGCCTTAAAATTTTGCAGCTTGAGTGTTCAATTTTACTGAAATCACACGTTCCCCCCGTTCGAGAGGCTCCACACATGTTTACTACTTTACACGTCTCTTGAAATATGAGGTTGTTTGATCTTTCTTTGATTTAGGTTTTACTTGAATCTTTGACTGAGATTGTGAGCGCGCGTGGCTGAAATCACTATCAGCATGTATATAGTCTAAGATACGAAGACTTAGCAGTATAAATTATAAACAATTTTAAAATTGTCATATTTCTATCATTAGTACATTCCGAAAGGTACAGAATAATATTGGCTATCTGAATACAATATCAGATCCGAGTAAGCCTTTTTTTCAACTACATTATTTCCATGATATATGGTTATATGCAGCCGAAGTACAACTTTATTCTATATCCGTTAAATATAAATAATTTCTATAACAATTGATCAATTTCCTTCTCTCTTCTCTCTTCTCTCTCTTAATTGGAAGAAGCGTACAACTTATACATGAAAAGTATTTTAATAAACTATCTGGAAAATCAGATATAACTGAATAATTAATTAAGGTTTTGATGAGAAGAGTTCCATCGTTGAAAGATCAAAGGAACTCCAAGTACTCCAACTGTCGCTAATTAAATTCATGGTAGAATTAATGGGTAACAATTGACCATCATCATCATCATTCAATGGCATCGAATACTCCAACTCTTGTAACTGCATTTGCATCATGGATGGTTGCCAAGATGACATGGTAGCCGTAGCAGCAGCAGCATCAGACCAGAGAACATCTTGAACCACATCTTCATCAGCACCACCCACACCCAGAAACCCTTCCAATTCATCAATCCCACTTAAACTCAATTCCTCCCCTCCAAAATTCTCAATTGTTTCTTCCACAGGGTCCCCACCACCTATTACCACCGCATGATCACCATCATAAGGATTCTGATTCTGAGGCTGGATTACTGCATCATTCTCAGTTTCAACGCTTTCCGGAGTAGTCAAAGAAGCTGACAAATTGTTTGAAGAAGATGATCCATTATTAGTCTCACTCTCAAATTCCTCAGTACCAGAGCTTGGGTTTTGGTTCAAGAATTTGGCAAACACAAGGGCCATGTCTATATCACGTGACCCGTTGGTTTGGTTGGGTTCATCACCATCACCTATTGATGATGATGACTCTCTATTCTCAGAACCAGAATTCCCATGGATGGAAAGGCGTTCGCTTTGCGTGTGCCTCGCCGGCTTTCCGCGGCGGTTTTTGCGGCAGCCACCGCCAACCGGCACGTTCCGGATAGAGCCACCTTTGGTCCAGTAGCGCCTGCAACCTTTGCAGAAATATCTTGGCTGTGACAAGCTGTAGTTGTTGTAGTAACAGAATTTTGTGTTTGTGGAAGCGCAACGAGGGCAATTGGGAGCTATCTCAATGCTGGGTTTCCACCTTGAACTTGATCGTTCCATTGGGGTTGGAAATTGCATAGGAGAAGAAGATGGGAGCTGCAACATGTGTTCTAGCCCGCTACCGCCACTAAAGCTATGTCTTTGTGGGAACATTTATTTTTAGAGAGTGAAATGTTAATGAAGGGGACAAAAATTGTTAAGAGTTAGATATGATATAAGGGTGGGTTATGTGGGGCTTGGGATTCAGAGCGAGAGCATGTGAATGTGGAGAGGAATTTGTTCCTTTGTGAATATATGTGTGTGGGAAAGGGTTGAGAGGAACGTGGGCGGTTGGAGAATCGTTAGAATTAAGGAAGGGTGTGCATGTGTTTGTGTAAGGTGTGTGAGTTTGTGATGTTGATGTGAATTTCATGTTATGGGGTGCGTGTGTGTGCGTGTGTGCTGTTGCATAGGCGGATGGAGCGTGTCTAATAGTCACACGTGGCGTTTCTTGATTGGGGATACTTCTTCAGGGTTATTGAGGTTGATAAGTCAAAGCCTTGCTTGGCTAGTCATTATTTTACTCGCTAAGTTACGTGCCTGAGAAATGACCAAATTGACCATGCAATATGTCCTTGTGAATTGTGATACAATCATTTTACATAGAATTAGACAACATGATTAGATGATGGACAAAATTCATCTCCACCAAAGAGAAAGGCAGATTTTTTACTTTTTAGAAGTTAATGAAGGTTTCACAAATTAGAATCGTGTTTGTATTTTAGGTAAATTCATTAAAGATTTGAATGATTGCTAATGCATATATTTGTGTTAGTATATGACACGAGAATAATGCCTTATTTTTTCAGCATGTTGCGGTCAATATAATCCAGAGGGAGGGTGGCAAATGTGTCATTTCAATACGTATGAGGGAAATAAAAGTCGGCAAGAATGTATGAGACTATACAATGCACTGGATGTAGTGGAGGGAATTATGGTTTATGGAAGAAGTTTCGCATATATACTATACAGTATTCACATCATGGAAGGCTACCGTTGCGGGCATGGAAGCAAGAGCACGTGCTCAACGGAAGCAAGAGCACGTGCTCAACGGGTATACGTGGCCATCTTCCATCCTTTTGATTCTTTGTTAATGCTAAATCCGCTGTTGACCGTAGATTTCGTTGCAATTATGTGCACTATTTTATTCATAAATTCATCCTCATAACAGGTCAACCTATTAACTATCCATTCTACATTTCCACTGCAAAAGTAGTGAAGAGTTATGGAACACTTTGCCTCCAAAGGATCCAATCCAATTAACTTTAAAAATAACATAACATTTGCTTCATCTCTTTTGTTTTTTTTTATATATATTATCCCCCAATAATCTCGTAACTTCCTTATGAGCTAATCCAGAATTTTGCTCAATTTCTAAATCGGTTTTATATTAAATTGTGTAAAATGTATATATTTTGCAAGTAACAGAATTTGAAGTTGAGTTCCCTTGTTTGAAAATTAGAAACCTTACCACTGGATTACTTTTATTTGTTGGACATAATATTTATAATTTAATATTTATTATATATTATTTTAAAATTCAATTGAACTTAAATAAATCTGATTAAACCACTAACTCAGTATCTCATCCGAGTTAATGATTGAACCAAATTTTAAAACACTGGATACGTCACAGTTAAATCACCTGTATATGCATTTCCACATATTATTCGACTTTTTCTAATATAAATCCCCATCCTCTAAGAACGCGAAATAATAGCTGAGGGATTTATCTCCCGTTTTTCTCATTTAACCTAGATTTCACTCACATATTAAGGAAAATACAATCTGCAGATATCCTCTCCTTAAGCAAAAAGTGATACAGTGTTATATTAAGAGTTATCAACCCCATCAGTTGCACACATTGTTCCTTTTATACATTATATTCCCCTTTCTGTTCTTTCGGCGTCGAAACACTTTAAGGTACACCAACTCCTTTTCCCATCATGGCAGCCATCACAGTAGGAAGATTTTAGGATTAAGATGAGACCCAAATACCATTTTGATATCTCGGAATAATTCAGGAAATAATGTTACATCATAGGAAGATAAGGTGCTGCTAAGAGTTGCAATCATTGGAGTGGAGATTCGATCTAAAGAGAACATTCGAGGCACGTGGGGGTTTAACGTTGCTTTCAGGAAAGATGCCATCATACGTATTTGTAGTTGAGGATCAGTGGCTTCCACGTCTCAAACTCCTTCCCACAAGTTTTTTTCTTTTATATGTTCGGTAGAGTTTTAATTAATGAATTAAATTTCACATAGCTAATGATGTTTTAATAAATCAAATGCAGTTTATACTACTTCACTTGCTCTAACCTGATTAATATAAATCCTCTGTTTCAACCAACCATGAATATATCTTGAATGTGCATGCATCAACAAATTCAAGAGCGAGTTCCATACACATATTAATATTTATACGGAAAAAGTGTTTATCATTTAAAAAAATATAATTTTGTATTATTTTAAGTGAAACGATAATGCTTTGATATATATATTTGCTGGTTTTTTACATTCTTTCCTCCACAATACTCTTTCTTTCTCTCTCATTCTAATTTTGTGTAGAAAAGAGAATATAAAAGGTTAACAAATATGGAAATAAATCTTCTCATGTGTTACTTAATATGACCGTAGCGCAGCTAATTAGATGCGGAAGCTAACTTTTTAATTTCAATTATGACGTCATTATTATTAACCAAGTTGATTACTTATTTCCTTTCCAAAACATTGTCTGTATGTAAACTGCAATAAACAACTAACTGAAATACCTCATATATAGATGTGTATCTAATCACAGAACTACAACACGTAGTCCGGACAATATCCTGATAAATTATACAACTCAAGTCTGAATAAACATAGTCAAAATAATGTGGCATGAACAACCCCCATGCTCACCAAATAAGGCAACAAAGCCAACAAAGTCTCGAATCAAATAACAATATATCAAAAGCAAAGCATGATAATCATCCAGAAATATCAGCACAACAACATGCATAAATCAACTCAGCCCTGGCCTCCTGTCGCCAGAGGTATCAACCCCCGAGGTACCTGAACCTGAAAATGTGCCCCAGCGTGGGGTGAGATCTCTAAAAAGAAATCTCAGTAAGACAAAGGGTCCTCAAGGATCTCTCCACCCTAAGCTCACTTACATGTGCAATATAAGTTCTAAAACAGTAAACAATATAAGTTCCAAAATCTCTGCAATGCAGCATATAATCATGTAATGTGTGTCAGAATCCTACTGACTAGAGAATAAAAGTAGGGATTACATACGTCTACAACCTACAGTATAAGACGCTACTTGTACCTACCCACAGGATCACCATATTGTATGACCGTACATACTTAGGCTTACCGTCTATGCGGAACATCACATACATATCATTAGGCATTTGCACTTAACAACTAAAAAGCATTTCAATAAATCATCATTTCAAAAAGGCACATCATGCATATAAACCATCCCTCCATGAGGTATGGTGGAACCAATAATGGGCAAAATCGAGGACACGAAAACTTACCTCGCAATCGATCAATCCCAACTCAAAGGTCCACAACCTCCCAAGGTCCACAAACAGCACTCTCACGGTCTGTTTAAACCAGCAATCATATCAACATTCATAACCTAATAGTTTATGACATAATGACAACGTTTCCTTTTTTGTTTAATGACCGTAGGCTTCTCTCAAAGCCATAAGCCTTCAATATTATTGGTTCTGACTTAATTAAATTATTCTAGAGGTTCATAACAATCATTTAAGGGTCCAGAAACCCAACCCACGCTTCTGTTTGGGTAAAATAGCTCAAAACATGATTTTTCCCAGAATATCCCGATATTCCTTGGGGACATATCCAGATATCAATATCTGGATATTCACAGACCCAATATCCGGATATCCATATCCTTATATTTACAGACCCAATATTCGAATATCCATATCCAGATATTTCCAGACCCAATATCCAGATATCACCAACCAAATATTCAGATATTTCGCTACAGAATGCAGTTTTGCATTTTCGCGAAGATATCCCTTCAAAGTTCCATTTTTAACACTTCCAGACGTCCAAGCATGCATTTTTAGACACATTTAAGCAAGCGTTTAAGTTGGTTACCTACTCATCTCATTTTACATGCCAAGACTCAACTTTTATCATAGAAAACTCATGAACAAGGTTCAAGGACATACCCCAAAGCTCAAAACAAAAAATAGGGGTGCTCTTGGAGCTCTCTATGCAGCTCCCATGGTTCTGACTTCAAGGACCACGAAAATAGCTATCCAAGCTAGGTTCTTTGTTACAAAAATGGCTTCTTGAGACAACAAGTGTCAAATAAATGGCCTCCACATAACTATGAATGGAGCCAGCCCTCAACCCCTCACCAGCAGCAGCCACACACTCAGAAGCATGAGCCTCTCACTCACCCAACACAAGCTACAAGGTGTTAACAAAATTAAGGAAAAAAACCAAAGAGAAAAGGTGATTTGTTAGGAATGTGGCTTCCATACTCAAGAGGGGGGTGAATTAAGTATTACAAGATTTTCGCAAAAGTCCCCTTCTAGTTTCTAAATAACCATTTCAAGCAAACTTTGATATGTGAAAAGCTAATCAATGAAATCAAACAATCCATAAAATATAATATATCAATATTATAGAACTTATTCTAGCACATACAAGATATCAAAGAAGAAATTAAAGTGCTAGAAATAAAGAGTTTAGAGTTTAAAGAATTGCAAACACAATATATCCTGGTTCGGTCACCATCACTTGTGACCTGCGTCCAGACTGAAGCTGCTCGATCAACTCTTCACTAATGGTCAAGCTTCACGGGTGCTTGACAAACCTTTACAATCTTCCAAGACTTCAGGTTCTTGGATACCTTACAATCTCCAAGTTTACGGGTACTTGACAACCTTAAAATTCACTCCAAATTTACTTAGGTATTTGGATACCTCTCAAACAATGGGTCTTACAACCCTTTCAACTCAAGAATACAAGGAGGGAAATATTTAGAAATGAATGTACACTCTCAAAGTGTGGATATACAACTTGAAACACTATGGGTATATGGATTTTCAAGATATGAGCTCAAATATGTTTGATCTTTG